CCCCAAAACCCCAAAACCCCAAAACCCCAAAACCCCGAGATAAGAGATTTCAACTGAAGGTTAAAATATTTTAGAGCTTGCAAATAAAATATAAATGGATAGGTTTAATCCCAGAAACTTAGAGAATATAAAGGAAATAGAAAACGACGATTCCGATCAGGGCGGTAAGCCACCTCTAACATCTCTCTAGAATTCGATGAACAAGATAATTTATAGATGACGATTATGATGAAGATTTTTTGGAAGCAAACGAGCCACAAAACCCAATGCAAGAGGTTTTGCTTAAAGTTCCTGGGTTGATAACTTCCCAGTTTGCCTCCCCCATCATGAAGTTGAATAATTCTGGAAATAAATGGAACAACAGAATGCTGGTGATAAACCAGGATTATCTAGGGTACATTAGGAAGGTTCCTGTTAATAACGAAATAACGGAAAAAGATATACCAAAGCAATGTGTGCATGTTTCTTATATCCTCGATGTTGGCCCTGTCTCTGATGAAGAAGCTAAGAAGTACAAAAAGAAAATCAAAGATCCTGATATCTGTTTCAAAGTCGAGCTTATCAAAGCAGCTCTTTACAAAGGCAAGGCTAAAGTAACCTATTTCTATTCTAATTTTAGGAACCCAAGATGCTTGATCAGATAACAGAAAAGATGAAGAGTAAGCCTCAAAAATGGTTCTTCATGTGTGAAGTCAAAGAAGACAGGAACACTTGGATTAATAAGATTAGAGAGATAGCACCTGAGCTCAGAACTCCTTCTATTGATATTGATGAAGACTTATATCAAGATCCTATTAGAAAAACTCTTGAGAAATCGAAAGAAGAGTCTAAAGGATACAAGAATGAGGCTCCCAAAGACCTTGATCTAAACTATGATGTTCCTGATGAGGAAGATGAAGACGATATTGGAGAGATAAACGAGAGGTTCAATAATGCTAACCTTGATGAGGATGAAGATGATGAGGATAATGATGACCAAGCAGAAAACGCTAAGAACCCTGAAATCCAATATTCTGAGTTAAAATAACACCATAAGTCAATGTAAGTTAATATTTATTAGCAACTTAAGACTGCATCGAACGGCTTAAAATTGGCTGTTTATCTTTCCCTAAAATTCTAGATTTTCAACAGTTTTCCTTTGAAAGCCAATATTTTAATTTTATTCTAGATCTCACCCAGAGTAATGAACTGCTAGACAGAAAGATTAAAAAAGAGGAAGAAGCTTGGGACATGAAATTTCAAAACTACTGGACCAACCTGATCAACTTTGAGCTTGAAATCAGCAAACAAGGAGATGACAGCGAAGAGATCAATACTAAGATCAATATTTACTGTGAAAGGCTTCTCCAACACGTTGGAAAATTCCGGAAAGAAAGTACTGAAATTTTCCAGAAAATAGTTGAAGAAATGAGCAGGCCTGAATCTAAAAGAACAAATGTCGCTATAAATATTATTGATACAGACTACCTCCCCTTTGCTTCTGATGATGATTGTGCTGAGTTTGAGGTATACAAAGAGAAGAACATTATTTTTAAGATTGCTGCTTGTGATATGGAAGGTAATTTAAAATGGAAGCAAATGCAAAGAGAGTTCAATTCGATGGATGCCTTTTTCGATACTCTTTATATCCTATCAAAAGATGAAGAACAGCCTAAGCTCAGAGTTCCTCTTTCTTGTATAATGGATTACAAGGGATTCAGATGTCTGGCAACTGGACTTGTGCCATTTGATGAATATGCTCTAAAAGTCGGATTTAACCAAGATAACAAGTTTTTGAATACCCAATCTTTTATGAATATTTTAAGCGATGCAGGACATATTTTAGGACTAAAAGATACAAAGGTGTTCCTCGGGGTGCTGTCAAGTCATCAAAGTATTCCAATTTCTACACATTTGAAGGTCTACCACTATCGTCAAACTGATAACTCAGACAATAATTTTCTTGATTCTCCAACCGTGAAATCGAAAAAGTATCATTTTTCAGAGCTCCAATATGACATTAAGCCAAATCAAGATCTTGGTTATGTATTTAATACTTCTTACATGTTTCCGTTGGATTTTTCTCTGAACCAGGCCAACGGAATCCAAGAGAGATATATAAGGCCTGAATTCTTATGTCAATATGAAAGACCATTAAAGGCTGATACAAGAAAATTGCCTCCAAAAGGAGTGGAAAACCGTGTAAAAGAGGACCAAGATATGCTTGAAATTAACGAAGCTTCTAAGACTCTTCAATCTAAAACTATTCCTAATTTAGTGAGCCTGTTAGATTCTTTGACTCTTGTCCCTCTTGACAGCAAGAACTTATCTGAAATATTCCATTCTTATGGGATTAACATGAGATACCTTGGAATAGTAGCGAGGTACTCAAATCTCTTTCATGTGCAAGATATTTGCATAAACGAAATGATTGCGAGAATTTTAAAGCAGCTTCTTAATGCTCAAATTGCTTCCAGCATAAAAGAGCTCTCGCTCGATGATGAAGAGAGTTCAGCTCATTACACTCATGCAAGGCATGAGCCTATTCAAAGGAACCCTAGAAGTATCATCAAGACTAAATCAAAGAATGATTTTCATCCAAATAGATCTATTGACAAAGCAGTTGGATTTAACGATGACAATATTACTAGTCTGAACAGGAGCGTCGATAAACAGAACTCTGATATTTTAGAGGTGGATGATCTTGAAACTAACCTTTATAAAGATAACAGATGTAATGAGTGGTATCAGGACTTCCTAAACCTTACCTTTGGAAATGACAAGGAAAGTGAGGACTTCTTCCATGAAGTAGTGTATCCTAGGATACAGGTTTATTATAGCTATCCTGTTGAGCAATTGAAGGAATACAAGATCAATTATACAGCTTTATATTATTCACTGTTATACCATTGCGGTCTTCAGATTGATAAGGAACAGGAGTTATATAAGAAACTTGGAAAGACTCAGAAACCTTTTGAACATTACAATTATGTTAAATGTGTTCCTATAAGCAAAACTTATCCAATGAGAAAACTGCCAGTCCATGACTTTGCAAATAAATATAAGGAGTATAGGGCTAGAGGAGAGAACGAAATGGCTCTTCATGCTGCCAAGGCAAGAATCTTATATACTAAATTGGTTGAAGGTAGAATAGATTTGGAAGCTCAAGGAGAAATTGCAGAGCTTCTAGTTGAAGAAGCCATGTATGATGAAGCTATTGAGCAAGCTGAAATTGGTCTACAAAATTGAGGCCATGAAAATTCATCTTCTATTAAATTTTATTGAGTCTTAATGAGAGCATATCAAAGAACTGGAGACACAAAGGAAGCTCAAATATACTTTGACAAGACTATAATGTGTCTAGTTCATCATTGGGGTCAGTTACACCCACTTCATTGTACTATTTATAACATTATGGCCTTCTTAATGATCGATGAAGGAAGTCTAAAAGAGGCAGAATATTGATATATGTCTTCTCTATCCTGTTGCTCTAAAGTTCTTGGAACTAATCATATTCAGACTGCTGAGGTATATATGGATTTTGGAAGATTATACCTCAAAATGCATCGAAAAAGTGAAGCTTTAGTAAATTTCCAAGCTGCATTTAATATCTACCAGAGCTATTTTGAGAAGCAGTCCTTGCCATGTGGAAATGCAGGATTCCATATTGCCACAATATTGGAGGAAGAGCGTCGTCTTCATGAGGCATTTGAATATGCTCAAATTGCTGTAGAGGCATACTCCAAGATTAATGGTCAGGCCAGCGATTTGGCAATTTCAAGCCAGTGGCTAATAATCTCAATTTCATTTAGTTTGAAAAGTGCTAAAACTGAAGAGTATTCAGCCGAATTATTCAGAAATCTAAATGAAAGGGATCAACATATTCAGAGTATAGAAGAAAATAAAGGTGTGGAACAAACCATTGACGAAGAGACCAGAGAAAGAATTGAGAGAATTAAGGAATACCTTGCAGCTGTAGATATTATGAATACCACCAGGAATTTGGATAGGGAGAGAAGGACTAACCTCAAAGCTTATGTTGAAGCTATCATGAGAGAAGAAGACAAAGACAATGAAATTGAAATTGGATACGAAATTGGTAGATATGGAGAAGAGGTCTCTCAAAAGCCTACTTCTGGCTCCAGAGGAATTGATCCTATTAAAGTTAGTTCTATTTCTAATCTCACATTCACTGATGCACAAAGAAAGTTACTGAATGAAATTTATGAAGCAGCTGTTGAAAATCAGTGCAAGGGTGTTTTTGACTTTTATTACGATAAGATTAAAGAGATCGTTGACATGATAGCAGTACCTGATGAGAGTGGAGGCTATACTGGCTCTCAGAAAGGTTTTGAGGGATTCAATAAAGTGAGAAACGGTAAAGTTTCTATTAGTCTTATTTTTAGAGAAAAGATTTACCAATGAACTTAACAAGAGCATTACATCCAAGTCATTGATTCTGAAATGCATAAGAATATTTGAAGATGTCAATTTCATGAGTGTGATATTGGCTTCTACAGCTACTTAAATCATAGTTATAAATTTTGGCACTAAATTAGTAATATTTAGTGATATAAAGATTAAATCTTTGCTAGGGGTTTTGGGGTTTTGGGGTTTTGGGG